CCACTCTCTCTGTGTGGGAATAGAGCTGTTTGTTCAGTTGGCCCTCATTGACTAAATATATCAATGGGCAAATGGACTCTGGCTTTTTCCCTGTTCCCTGCTCCACTGCCCCGGCTGAGACCCTCAGTGAATGTCAGGACCCACGTCTCAGTTTTAACTCAGTCTGCTGTAACAGTTCTGTTTTTCTGAGAGTCAGGGACACTGATTGCTTCACTTTGATGTAAACCAAAGGCAAAAGAGGTGGCTGTCCTAACCCTAAACCGTTCTGCTAAGGCACGCTCATTCTGGGTCGCGGTTATTTGAATTAGAGCTGTTGTTTCCAGCAGTATCGTGTTTGCAGGCGAGAATCAACTGATTTCACAAAGCGTACAACACACACACACCCCTCTCTAACCTTTCACTTACCTATTAATTATTTAATTAACGATCTTTTTTTCTCACTCGTGGTTTTTTCTCAGCCTTGTGTGTGCGAACGTTTGTATGTCGTGACAGAGTGCCCGACCCGGCACCCCACATAAACCCACCCAGCGTCATCGATGAATGCTGTCACACCTCCACCTCCACTTCCTCTTTCTCTTTTCTTTTTTTTCTTGTTCTCTCACTCACTCACTCTCCCACCACCCACCACTAACGCTGCTGCCACTACCTTGTCTTCCTGTTCCGGATTACTTGTTTTCCTTTTTCTTTTTCTCTATTGTGTGTGTATATATTTGTAAGGTCTGTATTGCTGTCATGAATTTGGGTAAATGGATGTCGTGGAGAAAGCGTAACTTTTTCAGAAGAAAAGGAAAGCATGAAAGTAGCCTCGATTTAGGTAAGCTTGTCTTGATTAACCTAAAAAGCAGACTAAACACACCGGCATTGATTCTGTTTTTCATAGCCGAAGGAGCATAATTGTGAACGTTACCCATGACTTTGGTCAATTGATCGATTCTTTTTCTTTTCCTGCTCGTGATTTTTATACAACTTCTCTCTTTCTGTCATATTTTAGTCGTGATGTGCATACTTTTTATTTGTGTGAATGAGATAGTTGATCATCCCTGGGTTTTATGGCTCCTTATCTAGCCAGTCAACCATCACGCAGCAGAAGACTGCTGATCAGCAGTCGTGTTGTGATTTATCTGCACAATGGAAGAGAGTGTGATGTCTCGTTTTGTCACATCCACAAAACACTCATACTCTACTGAAAAAGTAACTACACGAAGCTCTGCAAATTGCACTGCAGAGCTTGCACCACCTCTTGATAAAGCTGGAGTAAAGATTGCCAACATTTACACATAATTGAGTTAAGCGTTTACATTTCTTTCACTCCAGCTCCTCTGTGTTGTGTTAAAGTTGGTTGTGAATTCCTTTCCAACCTTAGTTTGAGTTGTGTAGACTTCCAGCAAATGCAGATAGGAAAGTCAACGCCTCTGCCCCACCGCATCGCCTACTCCATAATCCCGTGTTGCATCTATGTTTGTGTGCCAATCTCTGTCTGACATGCCGATTTTTGCCTTTGTTTTCCTCAAACTTGCATTCTGTCCCATCGCATGCTGGAATGGTGCCGAACAGCGTTCATCTGTGTTCGCCCCCTATCACACGATGCATCATGACTCCCCACCCTTGGCTTGCCCTGTCCTGTTTCGCTCTGCTCCAACCACTTTCCCTTTCCCTGACAGCGTCCCTGTTTCCCTCCCCTCTCCTTTTTCTCTCTGTTGCTGCATTCTTGCAATCTGTTCCTCTCTCTGTGGTCAAGGAGTGACAGACACATGGGAGAGACAAGAAGAGGGAGGCAGGAATATCGAATTCTTCTTTGCGCAGATACTCTTGGACTATCTCCTCCGGCTCTTTACTTGACTTCTGTTGGTTCTTATGTTGAGCATTACGGTGGCCTCTGGTAAAAGATGGCTCAGCATGGACTCAGTCTTAGAGGTAGGAACTTTTGACAGGTGTGCGCGCTTGTAGATTGGTGGCAGCTAGGACCTTGGTTTTAAATCGTGCATATTTTTAGTGTTCTTGCAATCTGATCAAGGTGTAGGCGCAAGATATGGGGTGGCTGGATTAAAAGGAGAGTGTGCCATGAAATGAGAGATTTTGTTTTCTCAAACTGTCTTTTTTCTGTTTTTCTTCTCTCATGCACTTTGTTAAATGCGCCAAAGATACTGGTGGGGTTTACCAAAGGTCAGTTTTTGGACATTTCTTTTTATTTCTACTGAAAAACTGAACATATCTGAACAAGCATAGAAAAATACAAGCTATATTTGGACTGTTGTAAATTGGGCATATGGAGTTAAAACCAGTTCGAGTTCCTTCACATTCCTTCACTGCATTTATTATATTTTTTCTCTTTCCCTCACTTTTACAAGCAGCACAGGCGATTTACACTGCTCTTGTTAAATCTCTGCCGTGTGTGGGGTGATCCGGCTTGTTGAACAAAATTCGTCACCCTGGCCTGACTTCCCCAAAGCCCCGTGCCCTCTCACCTCACTGTTTCTGCTCAGCCCTAATTACACGCACCTCTGCAGACCACGGGGGTGTTTTGAAGAATGTAAGTGGGGATATGGGTTAATCCATTTGGACGTTATGAGTGTTTTCCTTGCAAATTCCCAGATCTTGGCAAGGGTAGAGTGTCAACAAAGCTGTATGGGCTGGGGCAAGCTTAGACAAGTGACCAGTGGGGTAGGGAGGAGGAATGCATAGGAAATTATAGGAATTCTATTCATTCCTCTAAACCTACAGATTCAAAGTAATACACGTCTGCCAGCACACTTTGAGTCAGACTGAGCAGTATCCTTGTATGAGCGTGATTGTTGTAGGATTGTGTGTATTTCCTGTATACGGATTAGCGCTTTTCATTCAACCGTGGGTGGTGCTCTCCTGACAGGACAGTCCGTAGCCAAGGCTTCTTCCAAGGAGCCATCAAGGTGAAGTTCAGCATGTGATACTTTTTTTTTCTTTTTCTTTTTTGTGAGCTGTGTAGCAGCCAAGCCAAGAGCTCAGTTTAATGCTTCACCAATGACCTGAGAAAGGCACGCATTCAGTCTCATTATTTTTGGTGTAGCCACACTCATGCTAGTTTGTTGTTTTTCTTTCATTTACCTTTCCAGACACTTCAGCTAATGCAGGAGCTGTATTGTTGACGTGTTAGCCGTGCTCATTCATCGGTCGAACATGCATTTTAAGCCGTTCGCTGAAACGGCGAACTGGGAAAACCTTGGGCTATGATTTTAACTGCTGGGTATGAATTAGTTAGAGGTAACAGCTGCTCACTGGTGTGGCAAACTTTGTAAATATCTCTGTTTGGAAAAGCTCCGAGCTCCCGTGTGTTTACTGTGTGGTGCTGTCGTGGAAACCCTGATGGTTTGTTTGATTTCTCACCTCAGTGCTTTCCACATAGTTTTCCCCGTTTTCTCTACTTTGCGGTCACAGGCTCTCTCCACCTGTGAGAGCGAGGGGGAGACCGGGGCTCTATATTTAATGTGTCTGCTCTTGTGTTCCCAGCTGGCTGCTTTGAGAAACGTGTGCTTCTGTTAATTTATTTCCTTCTTTTTTTTGCTCCTTGAACATTTATGTTATATTATGTTTTTCAGGTGTGTTTGTGATTCTTTTTCTCAGGTTCGTCAGCACTGTTTAAACTTTAATTAACGTGCTGTTATCCAGCAGTTAGGGAAATGATTGCAGTTTGGCAGCTTGATGGATCTTGGCCAAATTTCAGGAAAAATAAACTTGTGTTATCACACCAGGTTCAAAGAGTGAACTGATTAGAATTTGTGCATCAAAGGTCACTGACTTCATGAAACATGCTTTGAACATAACTCAAGAATTCCTACTGTAATTGTAACAAAGTTGTTACTCTGGACAGAAATAGGTGTGAACTGTAAAGTGGGTTTGAGTTTTTTAGAATTTATCACCTTGGTTGTTGTCATTCTGCAAACAGGATGAAACACAACACTTTGGTCTTAAGCTGTGGTGTGGGTGCACACCCATGCATACCATGTGTTGAGAGTATGAGTTGGATCACTCTGCTGAACTCGAGATTACTCCTCCTGATGTAATCATTACTTCATTTTTTGACTGCTGGCAACCCCCCCCCCAAAACAAACAAACAAACAAAAACAAAACAATCACTTGTTTCTCAATACTATATAACAGTACTGTCTGTGCAAAGCATATACAGACTTAGATTGATGTGTTTATGTATGACTCAGTTATTAGACGTATGTTGACTGTTTGGCAAGGCTGGAATATTTTTCTCCGCGAAGGAATGTGCATGTAATTCCTTTCTTCACTGTGCTTGTGCTGTATATTTACTTCTCCTCATTTGGTTGATAGAATGTGTCAAAGCAGATTACATGAATAAGTGAAGTGAAAGTTTCCAAACTGATTGGACGAGGACCTGGTAAAGGATACTGAAACAAGAAATACTTGTCACATTAATAAACAATAATAAAAATGTTAAAAATAAGCTAATCTGTTTCTATTTGAGAAATTTCAGTGTTTTAATAGTTTAAAAACTATATTTGGATGCTAAATTTAAAAGTAGTTTTTAAGCGCAAACATAAGTGCATAAAAAAAGTAATCACAAATTCAGTAATGGCATATAAAACAATGTTTAAATAGAACCTAAAACGAGGCTTTGCGCTGTCTTCTTTGAAGGCTTTCCTACATTAGCAGGAAGCTTTGGTGTGTTTATGTGCATATTGAAGTGTGTAAACCTTTAAAGGTGCATATGAGCATTCTCTGAGCTTTAATTTGATGCGAAATTTCCTGCTGCAGAAATGCACGTTCTGATGGTGTAGATGTTAATAATTAATGTTAATAATAAATCAGTGTCCAACCTAACTGCCTCAGGTAAGTGGCTCAGAGTTTTACTGGCCTGCAATAAAATATTATAATTTAATTATCATAATAATTTATTTATATATTCCTTTAATCTAAATCTGATAAATAATGTTACTAAAGCTTTGAGCTAAATAGGGTCTAGTACACCCCATGTCCCACTTTTAGACTCACCCCTGCTTGCTGCAGGTATCACTGCAATAGAAAGTGGGACGGCTGCTGTCAGCTTTTAGCAAGCTGCGTGATTTAAACACGATATTTGACTAAGTTACCAGTTCATCTGCCCACATGCGCTTCTATTTTAAACTTCTGCGGCTTTTTGTACATTTTTCAGTGTAAAACCAACAGCGGTTGATGGGAGCAGCTACAATGTTTGTTTTTCCTTAACACTGGAGCTTGCTGAACAGGTGGTTTGATTTGATTAAGGACGCTCACTAGCTTTTTCCCAGTAAACTTTTTTATGGTGATTACAGTGACGAGCGCTGCTGTTTTGAACACTAGAAGAAATGTTTATTCACTCCACCTGAGCTCACAGTCGTGAAAACAGCTCGGCCTCTTTGCTTTTTGCTGTGTGTAGACGTAAACTAGCCACGCTAAAATACTTGCATAGTGACAGCTGAGTGCTGCAGAGTCATAGGTTAATGAAGCATCAAAGCAAAAATATTTGCGTTGTGGTTTTTTCATTAGTTATTCAATTTACTCAATGAGTCTTTGCAGCCCTAGTAAAAGCTTGATTCATTGATGGATAAAAGGGTCGGTTACTCACTGAGCAACAAGAGAAAGTGCAAAAGATTTGACTGATGTGTTAAGCAGATTATTTAAAGCGTAACAAAAAGTCAATATTGTATATTTATTCTATTTATTCTATGTCTAGCATGTCTATTCTATGCTATTGTTGGTGTATTATCAATAGAAAGCACCATATGTAGAACATAAGTCTTTAATGTTTATGCCTCCATCACGTCATCACTTAAAGACCGGATTAAACAGTCATGTTTGTAATAGCAGGTTTTAAATTCAGCTCCTTAACAGATACAAGAATTTGTGCTGAATTATTTTTGTCACACTGGACGTTCGTATCACATCAACTTACAATGAAGCGAAGCTTAAACTTGAAGCCTCCCAGCTGATTAGAGCAAACACTTATGGCTCTGGCCCAATTAAACAAAATATAAAAATAAAAGTACAATTTTTAAATGACCTAAACAAGATGTCATTGCAAGAGTTGTTGCACAGGCTGTACATTGCAACACACTGAGTGTGCACGTGTGCTTCGGGGACACTAGAAGAGTGTAAAAGGAATGTTTGTGTCCACAATCAAGCATAATACCTGCCTTGCACAAATAGGACTGTAGCTGAATTGTGTATGTGATGCTGTGACTAGCTACAAATGAGAAAACTAGCATCGGTGTACATGTGTAATGTAAAGTTGTAAACTTGTGCATACTCCCCTTTTTTATTAAATTGCTTTTTCTTGTGTTGCTCATACAAACACACTCTTGAACACACTTTCTCACACACAGCCTGCTGCCTACTTTGATCTGTCCTGCAGCGAGGCATTCCTGTGCTGCAGCGAGTAGGAGCAGCAGACAGATTGAGGGGGAGCATTGTGTATGAATCGAGTGTATTGTCCTATGAAGATGGTAAGGTAGAGAATGTAGGAGACCTGAACCCCAAGGGACCCTCTCCCCAGGGGCCTCTACAGGGTGCCAATAACGCTGTAAGAACAGAAGGCCTGTGCATGGGCCTTTATATAAAAGGAAAATTGATATTGTGTTGAAAGCATACCTGTCTTTGCTCCTTGTGAGCTATTTTCTCAATGTTCTTGCCAGTGATTCCTCCCCTTTTGGCTGCCTTTCTCTAGTATTTTTGGCCCACTCTGCTTGCCCCCCCCCCCAGCATTGTTTTTGTCTGGTGGTCCACCTATTTTTTTCTTTCATCCCTTTCCTTGTCTGTTCTCCTTGTCAGAACATGTTTAACCACCTGTAAGTTATCTACTGTAATTGATCATCATCTGTTACTGGGTGCCGTGTTATGGCTCGTGGTCTTTGCCAACCATTTTGTCATTTTGTTTTTCAACATGAAACCTTCTTTGTCTCATGTATCCTTTTTCTGTCATCATCTTCATTAAACCCTTCCATCAGCTGTCTTTTCTTTAAGAATAATACAAAAAAGTAAAGAAACCCCAAGCTTTTTTTTTTTGTTTTTTTTTCCCCTGCCTCAAATTTATATGGAAGAGGGTTCAACCAACACTCGGGAGGTGTTTCTATAGCAGTCTGTGATTCGATGCACTAAAGGCAATGACACAAAGATAGCAAAGTTCAAGCGTATACCAGTCTAGGCAACAAGCCTCTTCTGGTTTGGTCCCCACCTCAAAATCTAACCTAGCCAGTTGCCTGTTTCCTCATACGCTTACTAGTCTCTTGCTACCTCGTCCTTTCCTGTGGCATTTCTGAAGAAATGTATATTATAAAACTATTGTCCATTTCCCTCATCTGCCCTTACGTATTTGGTCTTTAAGGTCTTTTAGATCACTGATTTGGGGAAAGTCAGAGGAGAAACCCTCTCTGCTACCACTGTTTATCCAGTCCCGTCACCTGTTCACCTGTTTCACCTGTTTCACCTGCTTCTACTCTACTCTTACCATTCACTTGTTTTTATGCAGTTTGTCACCCAGCCAGCCGCTACACAAACACACACACTCTACACATCCCAAACAGAGAAGCCAACCAGTGCTGAGGCTGGTGATGTTAACCTTTTGACCTTTTGTTCACTTCATGGTGCTTTGCACAGCTGCTGGTTGACCTGACCCCCACACACATAAGGCACTTTAACAGCTTTCCTAACCTTAGATTACAGTCTGATCAAGACCTCAGCTAGAGTGTTTTGAGGCAGATGTGAATACGTCTTTTTACCCGTTTCCTTGGTGGTTACACTGAAATTGACTGAGAACGCAATGGATTAGTTATTTTAGAGTTCATAGAAACGGCACATTAGAAAGAAGCCTAAGTAAAACTGAAATCAATTCTCAAGAGAAGTCCAAGGCTTTGTGCGAGCTACTCTGATCCATTACAGGAGCCAGCCATCGCCCTGGCACATCAAAGCAGCTGACCCTCTGCCTGTCACACAATGAGGCCTTATTAGAGAGCCATGTTGGAGAGAATAAAGGAGGCGCAGGAAGGGAGGGAGTCAAGTGGGAAGAGAATGTGAAATATTTGTACAGTTGGATTCAGGGGAACATTATAAATGGACAAGGGTGTGCGCACATGTGCAAAAAGGTTTGTTGGCTTTACTTGTCACACCGTGCACCTGTTGACATTTGGTACGCACGTTTAAAATACCCCTCATTTTGTTCTGGTAATTTTCTGATGTTCCAGCCACATTGATCGGGATGCTTTTAAGTCAAAAAGCCTCAGGCTGTAATTACCATTTACCTCATCAGTGTAAGTTGATTTGTGCCGAGATCAAGTCGCTCCCTGGAAAACCAGGTGGAAATGGACATCAAGTTGTAACAATGTTCGCTGCTTCTTTTAAAAGGCTGACCTCTACCTGACGTCACTTTTGATCCACCTGTTCATGTTCTTGACAATCAATTCTTCTTCTTTTTTTCTTTTCCTGCACAGATGAGCACGACGCAGTGCAGAAGAAAACGTTCACCAAATGGATAAATGCACAATTCTCCAAGGTAATGTGAAACATTAGAGCCAAACATTTTCAAATGGATGTCAAGCACTCTCCTTTTTTCCTCATAGTACAAAAAAATCTTCATCTGCCTAATAATGTTGTAAAATGTTAAATCTGCAGTCAGCAGAGCATTTGCGTCTTTTTCGTACTATGTGACTAAGCACTCAGCAATCCCACTCTGTAAATTTACGTTGTCCGTGTTGCTGTGTGCTTCCTAAACACTTCCTCTTTGCAATAATACCACTTCCAGTTGATTGTGGAATATCTGGGAGAGAAAAATTTCACACTCAAATGCAGTGAGCTCTTTAAATGACCATTCTTGCACAAAAGTTTTTAAAGATAGACTGGATGTCTAGGTGCTTGATTTTATACACCAATGAGACTGAAGATTAACAGGTGTGGCCCAGTATTTTTTTTCCATACAGTGCAGCTGCACAAACTGATGGATGACATCTTTCTTGTGCTAAAGAGACATGAGGGGTACTTCCCACAGTCTGACCTGCATAGACCTGCTCCAGAGTTAGTCTTCTAAACAACTGTTAACTGAATAATTAACTTGAACTTGAGCTGCAGCGACTTATCAGCGAAGTGGGTGTTTAACCTTTTCATTACCAAGCTGCATCATTAGACTAAAGCTCAGGGGGCACAGTGACCTCAAGACCCATCCATGATACCAGCGCTGCCATACTATTGTTTGTATTATTTCTTAAGCTAAAAACTAAATAATAAATTAAAAAGGTTAATGTTAATGTCTTTTAGTTTATGTCAGAGCGTTAATAGTCTATGTGTGTGGTCCTTGTATATATTTTTTTATTCTTATAAAACAACAATCAGAGAATATTAAATATTTTTGGCTGATTTTTTTTTTTTTTCTAGTTGGTCTACCTGAGCTAATTACTGTCCTCACACTGTTTTCTCCTAAATACTTTGAGTTTCATTCTTACACTTGTTTCATTTGGATAGTTTCAGATTTGTTGACTGTCTGTGCCTTTTAACACTGGTTGTTACAATGTGCCAAACTTTCTCTTCTTCTTTCTGCATACCACTGTGACATGTGAGCTTATTCTCAGTGACGCTTGAAGTGTTTGAATTAAATGTAAATGCCTGTCTCTCCAAAGCTGCAGCCACACTCAGGGCCTCTTATCACTGGTATTGACTGTTCTAATCCAGTCTTATGATAAATCTAATGCAGAAATTGTGGTGTTTCCAGACAGGGAAGACGCCCATCAAAGACATGTTCACCGATTTGAGAGACGGGAGGAAGCTGCTGGACCTTCTGGAGGGTCTCACTGGCAGTGTCCTGGTGGGTTTTTGTATACGTACATTAACATTCGTGAGACTTTTTCTTTTTTTTCTTTTTCTTTTTTTGTTGTTTTTATTCAAATTTGACATTTTAAAAAAGTTTGCTGTTTGAATGCATGAAGTTCGAGATTTGATTTCAAGGAGGCACGTTCAAGCCTCAGAAATGCTCATGAAAGGTTTGGCAGTGCATGCAGTCAAATTATAGTAGTGCAGTGTTTTGTTTTGTTTCTTTTCCCCCCTTTCCTCCTCCTCTTAAGTGAAAGTCATGCCAGTACAAGCACATGCACGATGTGATGTAAACACACAGGTTAAATCTAATGTAAACATCTGAGCCACTCTGGAGTGCCGTGCTTGGCTTTTGCTTCCTAAATTAAAACACGTATTTTACGCTTATGTTATTTCTTATTTAATTTTGGTAAATACATGTTATGTTATTTGAATTTCTGCAGCTTTCAGCAAACTATCACTTTACTCACCTAAAACTTTATTCAAAAAGAGGTTGGCATAATGGATAAAGAAGTACTATGGGAAAGGAGACTAAAGATATGCATGTCCTCTATGACTGGCTTTGTGCTTGTATATGCAATTTTTATTTTACTGTTTTCTTTCTTTTTCTTTTTTTCTGTACCACCCTTCAGCAGCATATCATATTTCTAACACCTGCAGCCGTATATTGAGTGCCAACTGTCTTTGTGCCATATATGTTGGCACACACATGTGCACAAAGGCTTTTTTCACTGATACCAGAATACTAATTCTATAATTGGGTGCTAATGAGTGGTTGACGTATGTGAAGACTTAAAAAGGATTAGCAGTTGGCAGCCATTCACTGAGCCATTCTTTCCATAAGTTCTTGTGGACGCTGCTGAGAGCGTAATAGCTGTGATAATGTATGGTGTGAAACACTGTGTGGAGTGATGGCATACCTTATCTACATTTAACCCCCAAGCTTTGGCTTGAAGTTGGGGAACAAGTCGTCAAGGTGACTTGTTCGCAAATGAGAATATATTTATTTATTTATTAACCCGCAGAAACTCATTTGAATAAATGAGTTACAGGAAACGAGAGCCAAAACTGTTGACTTGCATGATTTTTAGCCTTGATTGGCTGGTGAACCATGAACGTGTCAGCTGATTTATGCTGCATTTCCTCTTCCTCAGAGCAAAGAGCGAGGTTCCACCAGAGTGCACTCTCTGAACAACGTCAACAAAGTACTTCAAGTCCTACATCAAAACAATGTGAGTACTTCCTGTTTGGTGGCAAAGCTGTTGTGCGTTTGTCATTTTCTACCACGTGCCGTTAAAGAAGAGTCTGTTTCATTTCAGCCTCATAAGATAATCAGAAATAAGGAGCTATATTAAACTGTGAAATGATGTCATGTTGTATTTTGTTGAAGTAGAAACTCCCAAACTCTATGTCCACACTGCACATTTACAGTCATGGTTGCACTGTTTTTGATTCAAACCAGTAACTCTTCCTCTAATTATACAAAACTCCTTAATCTCCTGGGGCCTCTGAATTCATTTCATACACAAGTCATTTTCTTGTGTATTTTTCTTTGTCCTTCTGCCTCCTTCGCTGCTTCATTTCATCATCCCTCCTCCTACTTTCTGTGTACAACAGTTGGTCATAATGCCTTGACCTCAGCAGTGGGAGATAAGGGGCAGGGCAGACTCATGGGAAGCAGCAGAGACTGAAGTTTGCATGCAAATCCTGCTGCTTTCACTCTTGCAAGAGGCAAAATAAGTGTCAACTGGCCAAAGTTTCCACAAGCCTGAACAGTGGAAACATATTTGAAAACAATTACATTTTTTTCCCATGGAAGACACAACTCTGCAATTGGATTTAGTCAGTTCATGTTATTATTATTATTATTATTTTCCGGATGGAGGGTACTTCAGGAGACAATACTGCGAGTTTTGGAGTGGGTGATGACTGTATTTGTGCGTGTCTGCTCTGATGCATATGTGAGGCTTTGTTTCATGAGAGATGTGGAGAAGTAATGGTGTGGCAGCATGAGGCTAATTGGTACTAGATGGGTCAGAGGCCAGCTCTGCATAGAACAAGAAAGGACACTTCATAACTTGACCAGACACATGACCTCATGTTCCACTCTGTGCCTTGATCCTCTCCACAATATTTATATATAATCAGTTCACACTTGGCCTTAGTTCATATAATACATGTCTGATGAACCTGCAGACCTCACTTCACCACTGGGAGGCTGTAATTAGGGTGGCATAATCTGCTTTGTGGAGACAGTTGACTGGGTGGAAGTGTTCAGCTTTAACACTGATGGCTCATTAAGATGTAAAGTAATATAAGAAAACTCGAATCCCATTTCAAAGGAGAGCTCCTCTGGTTTTACTCAGCAAGTGTGTTTACAGGTTCTGCCAAGTGTTACTGAGCATAACAACTCACAGCAAGCTTTTTATGGTCCCACAGATATCTTTGGGAAAGCTGATTAATTTCTTCAAGTCACTCAGTAGAAGTATTAATACCATTTCAGAGCAATAGCTTCAATTTTTAGGATTAATATGTTCCCCATAAGAACACATTTCCATATATTTGAACGTTAATAACCTGCAAGCTCAGAAAGTAGAAATCACAAATGTTTATTTGGTTGCTTGTGATATTTTTAACAACTTGGTCTGTCCTCCTTTCAGGTGGATCTGGTAAACATAGGAGGGACAGATATTGTGGATGGGAACCACAAGCTGACCTTGGGCCTCATCTGGAGTATTATCCTTCATTGGCAGGTGAGCAGGGTGCACGCACACACACACACACACACTTCTGTTTGCTAACCCTGGGATCAAAAAAACAGATGATGGAAAATCAGTATTGATGTTCACACATGCGTGTATGCATGTAAACATGTATATCACCCAGTGCTTTGTGTGCTCAACCTGCTGGCGTAAAACGGCTCAAGAGGTTCTTTCATAAGGTTTGAACCTTACCATTTTTTTTTTTCAACATTTGTTTTTCATTACTTTCATTATTGTTAGTTAATGTAACAGATGCCACATGCATTTTTTTTTGTCTTTTGTTTGGGTGTTAGACATGGTGTCTGTTTTATTAACTGCATTATATTTTATAACTACAGGAATCCTTATCCTTTTAGGATAAAAAAAATCTGGCTAATTTAATGTGCATAGAGTTATTGAGAAAGAGGTTTTCATTGCTGATGCTCCTATTCAATGTGCCCACCTGCTAATAAGAGAATCAATACAATGATTCTGCTGACTTTCAATAGAAGGGGAAGTGATCTATTCAGCCAGAATATAGAAACTACTGTTTTGAATCAAAATGTGGGCGTACAGGTTTTTGCTCTTCATTAATCATCCACATTAAAACTCCTCTTTCAATGTACATGTCTCTCTTTAGGTGAAAGACGTCATGAAGGATGTTATGTCCAACCTACAGCAGACCAACAGTGAAAAGCTCTTACTGAGTTGGGTACGACAGTGCACCCGCTCTTACCCGCAAATCAATGTGTTGAATTTCACCACCAGCTGGGTGGATGGCCTAGCTCTAAACGGCATACTTCACCACTTCAGGTGAGGAATAAGGGGACGCTCAGCAGGTACTTTAGCAATAAGTGTGGACATACTGCTATTACCTGACTGGTACAAACAAAGGAGCATTGGGACCACATTAAGAAAAAAAATATGTAGCTGTTCGTTTTAAGAATAAAGTAAAAAGAAACACGCAGACTTGGAGGAGTCAGCACAGATACTGATGGTCACAGCCTTGTGTGGCAGAGAGGATGTATGTTGTATCACAAGACGCAATAAGATCGCTGATAAAGTTGTGTCTCATGTTGTAACTCAACTTCACAAAGCATTTTGTAAAGAGTATAGCAGCTGTGGCAGTTGCCTGACTTGAAATGACAACTTTAATCCCCACATCTCAGCTTTATTCTCAAAATGAACATTATATACATATATAATACTCATCGTAGGTAAAAGGCTGCAAGTCCAGGTCGTGCAATTGTTTTGTTACATTAAGTCTAAATTATATTGATGACCAATTTTTGCGTGATTGCATTGTTTTCCACACTTGCAAGCGTGCAGCAGCCTTCTGTTGTAGTATGTGTTGCTGTGAGGTGAATTTACTGTTGAAGTTAACGTAGTATGGCATGTACCCTTTAGATACAAAGTTGTGAAGAAATCAAGGACATTTTAAAAAAAAAAGAAGAAGTTTAGGACCTTTTTTTTGTGCATGTATATGAGAGAGAGAGAGATGCTGTGAGGATACCCAAGCTGTGCATGTGGGTGAAGATCAGGTTGATAGGTCAGCGCCTGCAGGGTGTGTTGATACTGCTTGGCTTGTTCCACACATGGCTGGCCTCAATGCACAGATCAGGGAAGACCTTTGCCTATACACAGGGTTTGTAAATGTTTCAGATATCTATGAGCTAGTTTCTACATTAGGTGTATAGATAGAAAATCAGTGTATTGTCAAAAAAGATAAATCAAGTCTTTACCCCTGGCAAACAGGGAACGAGTTTTGAATTGTCTCAGGGTGTGCAGCTCCCCTTGGAAAACCCAGAAACGACTCTAATCGTCATAAAACCTCGTCTTTATTGATATGTACTGAGGTTTCAAAACGTATCACTACGGGTAAAGGGGAGGTCATCAAATGTTGTCTTTATGGGGGAAATGGTAAAAAAACAATGTTGCACTCAGAGGAACGCATGTGTTTCTGAACATGTGTGCGCTTTCAAAAGATGAAAACGTGGCTTCAGGTTTTGGATTTCGTCTGCATCATTCTACTTCAAGTGTTGCTCAAGTTCTGACCTCTTCTGACCTTTAAAGCAGATGAAGTTGTGCCACTAGGCTCTTCACTGCTTCTGCACGTTTGTAGTTTCTGATGTATAAAGTAGCCATGATATAAAACTGTGTCTTCTATTGGTGCGGTTCTGTGTGTGACTTCAGGCCAGACGCTTTTAGCTGGGATAAGGTGGTCACGATGAACCCTGTGCAGAGACTGGACCACGCCTTCACTTTCGCCAAAGACCAGCTGGGTATTGAGAAGCTGCTGGATCCTGAAGGTACTGTTGTTCTGAGCTATTCTGAGGACATTTGTGACACAGGTAAATATTATAGGAATGTTTTTAGATGTAAGTCTAAGAATTGGCACCTGCATCTGCTTTTTATAGCACCTGGTTATGGATTGACATAAATCTTACTGGCCAAAATTCCCACATAGTAAAATACAGTCTGCATTCACAAACCTTCCCTTCATGTACTGCCAGCAGTTGGATAAGCTCAGAGTGAAGAAGGATCTTGATGTTGCTTTGGCTGAACATCTGTAACAAGCTGGACCCTTACTTACTTGCTTGAGCTGTCCAAGTCAGACGCCTGTTTTTATGTCATGACTGAGGAGCAGCCACACCTGACCTGTACTGAAAGCATATTTAATTAGTACATCTTGTCTTAACTTGGCATTTTGTTTGTCTCTCTCACCGTCCTTCCCATCTAATCTCCTTCTGTCACCCTTAACGGCTATCGCGCCCTATCTGCCACGCTTCTGTTCTACTCATGCAATTTTCACCTCTGTATCCTCCCCTCTTTCTCTCTCCACTCTCTCCCTCCTGCCTGTCATGCACAGTTTGTATCTCTGATCTTTCTGCCTTACATCCCTCTCCCTAACGCAGTCTCGCTCTCTTTATCATTCACAGACGTGGCAGTGCAAGTACCAGATAAGAAGTCCATCCTCATGTATATAACATCGCTTTTTGCCGTGCTGCCTAAAGACGTGAGCATGGAGGCCATCAAAGAAGTGGAGACCCTCCCACGCAAATATAAAGTGGAGTCAGAAGACTCAGGTCCAGGACTCGGTGCCCAGGTAAAATCTAGAGTAGAGCTGTCGTGACATGTGGGAACAGGAAGGTGCAAGACAAGCTATTAGGTTTAGGGCAGAGGTGTTGGACATGTCAGGTTTGACCTAAACATAAAAAGAAATTGAGAAAGTATTTTTCAGAACAAAACACACATACGTTTCAAAGAATGTAAATTTGGAGTTTAGCAAAATCAAAACTCAAACCAGATTCAGTTTCCGAAACGGGCCCTGCATGCATTTCAGTCAAACAGCTTCAATTATGTAGCACCCGTTCACATCAGCGGTCCCTCAAGGCAATTAATATTATTAAGATGCTACAACTTTAGAGGGCGAAGCCCAGCAAATCAACAAATCTCTTTGAGCACTTGGCACAGCGGAGAGGGGAAAAAAAAGAAGCCCTCTTTAAGAGCAAGAACTTTCTGAGCGGCCAGAGATGGTGGATCTTTGTGTTTAAGTAAGATAGTACTATTCACTGTTTCTTTGACCTCATGTCAGTCTACAGAGAAGGAATTTACCTCCTTGTTTTATCTTATGATCATAAAACAAGAATCCCTGAAGGTGCTTCAAAGTAGCTGGTTATTGCTATATTATCTCCAGACGTTGCCTGTCTGAACCTTGATGAACTATGATGATATAAACAACTGTTATCTTTTTCTTTCTTTTCTATGAATGCAGGAATGATAGTCCAGCTCCTTTTTTTTTTTTTTTTTTTTTTAAAAACCAACTGAAAATCTTGAGTTGCAAAAACTGAACAGCTCCAGCTTTTGCTTTGCTGCTGTGCTCCATTTCTGATCATCATGTTTAGTTTGAAGGCAGCAGATGTTGCTACGTGCAAGCATGAGGAATATTGTCATAAGGAATAGTGTCTTATTGTATGTTGCCAGATACAGTGAGTCACTCTGAAAAAGCAGCCTCCTTCATTCTCTCCGGCACCGCTCATGAAAGGCGCAGCAAGCGCAGAGAAATGGGGAGCAGAGCCATGACTCACCCCTCTGACATTATCCAACAGGCCGAGCTGGATGGTGGAAGCGCAGAGCTGTAAAAGGATGGAAGGAAATAGGGGAGTAAATTGGTGAGAATGGGAGTGCAGATAGCTGAGAGAAAAGGAAAAGGTTGTTACAACATTAAAGTCGGGGTGCTGTGCAGTGCAGTGTCACCGTGAATTCAGTAGTTTTTCTTCAGCATTTCACAAACTAGTGATTGGAATCTGTTTATAATTTGCTTTATCCTGTTAACTGTGATTTGACAACTCCAGGTACTTTATTATTATAATTATTATTATTAGTTTTTAATCTTTGTGTTTTGAAAAGGAGTTTGCTGACATTAATTAAAAGTTAAGTATGCATTTTCGTCTTGTTAGCTTTTCATCCCCTCCCAGCTTGCTGGATTGGTCAATCACATATAGCTCTGGGGCATCTCTCATTTAAGAGGTGTGTTTTTTGTTTTTTTGTTTTTTTGTTTTTTTTTTGTTTTTTTGTTTTTTTTTGGTCAAAGGTCAGAAAACCCCCAAACCACCTCTTAGGTTGTTTTATTGCCCATGGGCACATACTTCACACGCCCCTGGAATGAGTCCTGGAACAGTCTTTTTTTAAATAGTGTTCTGATTGGTCCAACAAAGGGTTTACTTTCCTGGCTCGCTTCCTCTCTGCATAGGAACCAATGTGTAATACTGTTGCTGCTGGGAGACTGAGTGTAGTTAAAATAAAGGGCTCTTTGTATTTCATAACTTCAATATGGTTTCCCACTTTTCTTTTACATTCATAATTTTAATCGTATTTGTTATGTGAGTAGTTTTCGGTATTGATGATACTTTGAAACATACTGAGAGATCCTCCCACGATCGCCTTCCTTTTGTAATACCATTGATAATTAGAGAGCTGCTGGTGTGTGGTAGCGAATTACATGCTCTGCGGCTACAACTGTAAACGCGATGAATGCATAGACAGAGTTGAGCAAATCATGTAGTGATAATAAAGTGTTCTGTTGAGCCAGACCACAGCTATTTTACAGCCATTCAACTCAATAAATGCAGCAAGGCTGCAGTTTTCCCTTCTCTCTCACTCTCTCTCCTCTTTATTTCTCTCCCTGTCGCCCTTCTTTGCCAGCCCTCATTGATGTAACATAAGGGCTTACAGTTCTTTTGTCACTTATTCCAAAAATATCCAAAAGGTCATTGAATATTTTCAGCAGGTGACCTTTCCTGAGTTTGTTGCACAGGCATTACCACTGTATAATTTCAGCCTGGAAAACAAAAGTCTGTTTGATTTGTTACTGCACACCCATTACCATTTCTGCCATCTTTCACTTGGCTGCCATTGTGGAGATTTTATCTGGAGTTCAGCTTCATTCAGATTTGTTGAGCACCTTTGAGCTGTTTCTTGGAATAGTTTTGTCTGTGCAGTCGGTTATAAAGGTGTTGATTTTGTTGAAGTGTAGGTTTTTTTAGTGATGGTTCAGTTTGATAAAGGTTGGTAAAGTTGATGGAGACTGCTGCTTCTTCTTTTAAAGTGTAGAATTAATGTTAATGTAATTTTCCCAGTCCTTCTGCACTGCACATCCAACTTTATCTTGGTTAATGCTGTTTCAGACTTACTGCTGTTCCCAAAATAAAATTTGACCTGCCCACTTCCCACCATCCCATAATTGGCTTGCAGTCTTTCTTTTTTTTCCCCCTTTGCTGAACAGGGCAGGTCGCACTGCGTGCTCAAGAGCAGCACAACCCCCTTCTAGATGTCTGGGTCTATTTTAAAACTTGCCAGCTGATGTGTGCAGATGAGCACAGAAGACAAACCAAAGTCTTGCTTCGACTTGTTATGTTTCATAGGCGTCTTGGTCTTATGAATGTGGCACATTGGGAAATTAAAAAAACAAAAAAACCTTCCTTTTTATTTTTACTGTACACTTTGGCCTGTATACTTACAAAATATAAGCCAGTTCTTTCAATCAAGTGTTGTACTGCTTTCAGTATTATTTTCCTACTTATTAAGTAATGATCTTGTTTATAACTTGGTCAAACCTTGCCTAATGTTTCTTAGACTGTACAGACAGAGGAGGCAGGCAGCAGTCCCCGGCCCGAGACCCCCAGCACCATGACGGAGTCAGAGGGTGAGATGAAGGGCGGCCTGCTGGAGGGGGACCTTGACACCTACCAGACTACGCTAGAGGAGGTTCTGACTTGGCTGCTGATGGCTGAGGATGATCTACAGGGTCAGGACGACGTCTCGGACGATGTGGAAGAAGTCAAAGAGCAGTTTCACACACATGAGGTAAGAAGACACAACAGCGCTGTTATTTTCTTTTTGGAATTCATTTGTCAGTTCTGAAACAGTAAAAAAACAAAAATGGATTGGACTGAGACGTCACATTCAGGAGCATCAATTTTACAATAACTGGAGACACATTTAGGCTGTCGCTCTCCAGAGAGACTGAGAAAAGTATCCCAGCCTTTAACATGTTGAGAATGGCAGGAATTCCATGGCTAACAGTGACACACTGCACTCCATGGTGCCCTGGCCCACAGCTTACTTCCTTGCTCGACAAGGCTTAGTTACATCGTCTCTCTCGGTGCATGTGTGTAAAGGGGCTTTGGCTGGATTCCCTCGGCTGAACTGTGAATATTTGAAGTTGAATGCCTGGAATCCAGGTCAAAGCTGAAATCTGCTATGGAGACAGAAAGCAACAGGATTGAAAGCTGCGTTAACAGCCAGGCTTTTCAGAAAGTCTACAAAAATCAATCCAGTTTGTTTCGGCCTTGTTTCCCTGACTTACTCCAGTTTCGCCAGTAAAGCTTAGTCAAAAAACAAAGGCGTTAGAGGCGCAGTTGAAAATGCTTACTCATCCAGAGAGCTCCCTGTAATGGACAGCAACTCAGTTCACTGGCTTCTCCACAGCTACAATGAAATAAAAACAACCAAACATTAGCTTTTGCATTTCTTCTTCAAACCTTTTACGCTTCTTTTTGTTTTGGATGGCTTTGGTTTGCTAATTGACAGCCCACCCCTCGATTTGTGCTCACGCTTTGTGTTGTTGCTACAGCAGCACTTAAATATGAGGGTGCTACGGTACTGCTCAGTGCTTCTGCAGGGCATTATTAACATTAAACCTAATGACAGAAGCGCATCCAGATGTTAGCATGTGTCTGCCAAGTGCTAACAAACAGGCTCAGATTATAAAGGCCTTATTATGAGTGCTGTGCGTGTTCATGTTCCCAGGATGCAAACTGTTTCATAGACAGAGATATTTCTGTTTATTGTTTAAAATTGTAACCACTTACTACTCTTTCCTTTCAAGACATTTATGATGAAACTGACAGCGCGTCAGAGCAGTGTGGGTTATGTGCTGCAAGCGGGTAACCAACTGATTGCTCAAGGCAACCTAACAGATGAGGAAGAAGATGAAATCCGGGAACAGATGACCCTCCTCAACGCCCGCTGGGAGGCTCTTAGAGTGGAAAGCATGGACCGTCAGGCCAGGTAAACAGAGACATACCTGAATTGGTCTTCTGGAGTTGTTTAAATGTCCCTTACTGATTCATCTCAGAAACAGGTAAAGGACATTTCTATTTCAGGACAAATATGACTATAAACCTGAACATTTTATAGTCTAGTGTGCAGTGTTATCAAGCCATCAGTTTATGCTGTAAAGAATGGACAGGGGTGCAAGTTGCCAGACATGACACATGCTGAGCGTTGAGCCACCCAAGGTCTTACGATTTGCACTCTCAGCTTGTGTCATCAAGGTTTACGACACACACACACAAACTGCACACAAGTTGTGTTCATGATGTACGCTACATTTGTTGACCCTGAGCTTTTTTAGCCACAGCGTTTGTCTTCCTGTGTTGTTGCAGTTAAATCTTAAAGTCCTAAAGTTTATGAAATTTATGGCTTACATATCCTTTCTACCTTTATGTGCTCACTTTACTGCCCTTCTGCCTTCGCTTTCTTTCTCTCCAGGCTCCATGAAGTCCTGATGGATCTTCAGCAGCAGCAGCTGCAGCAGCTTTCTGACTGGCTGACACAGACAGAGGAGCGAATCAGGAGGATAGAGACACAGCCAGCAGCAAAGGACATGGAGGCCTATAAAGAACAGATAGAGCAACACAAAGTGAGGACAGTTTACCGTTAACACTTAATATTAAAACACTTTTGCATGGGTAAATGCTTCATTGTTGACAGTGTCAAGTAAAATGCCAAAAAAGTGCCAGTGCATGCATGCAGCTCTTGTTCTAAAACAGGCTGGTCTTGTGATCACTCCTTCCCGTTTGATTGTAATCTTTCATGAGTCACGATAAGGCTGAGTAGCTTCTCTGCCTGCTTAGTTAATTGCAACATATGACTGAATTCGCTGTTTGTGTTCCTGCACAGGAACTCCAGAATGACTTGGAGGCGGAGCAAGTAAAGGTCAATTCTTTAACACACATGGTGGTCGTGGTGGATGAGAATAGCGGTGAGAGTGCCACTGCTGCCCTGGAGGAGCAATTACAAGTAAGTTTTCAGGCTTTGAAGCTGATTGGCCAGCAGTTTATCATTTATCAAATAGTTTTCTTCCATTATGTTCAGAACATACGAATTTGTGTTTAGTATCTTTTAATTGTGGATGCACTTGAGTATAAAATGGTTTGTCATTAATGAGCTACTGCTTTCATTCATTTTTTGTTCATCTTGAATTCAGTCTTTGGGTGAACGTTGGGGAGCCGTGTGCCGCTGGACTGAGGAAAGGTGGCACAAGTTGCAGGAAGTCTTTATGGTTTGGCAACAGCTTCTATCAGACCAGGTAACATATTTATGTCCTTATGCAGTACATTCATATCTTGCACAGGTTTTTCTTCCCTCCTGTTTAAATGCACATTTATAACAAACTACTTCAGGAGAGAAAAATTAAACTGTATTGAGATGATTTAAAAAAATGAATCACTTGTGTCTCCACTTGGGATGAAAAGCATCAGACTTTTTAAAATAAAAACGGATTAACCCAGGCACGAGTCTCTGTGTGTAATTACAATACATTTTTTACTTCTCTGCAGAGCTTGTTTAGTATATGGTTGGTTGAAAAAGAGGAGGCCTTGAATGAAGTAAAGACGAGCAACTTTAAAGACTCCAGTGAAATCAATATGAACGTGCGCCAGTTAGCTGTAAGTATTACGCCTGTTTGTTTTGGTTGTTAGCATTTACTCTGGAAAAATATGTTGCAAATTTGAATTTCTGGCGTTGTAAATGTCAGTACAGCTTTCACTGTAATGAATGACCTTTCCATCTTTATGTATTTACTTAATTTTTTTGTCTTCCGCTCTTATAGATTTTAAAGGAAGACATGGAAAAGAAAAGGAGGGCTCTGGACAAGCTGTCTGATGCAGGACAGGATGTGATTCAGCTGCTGCGAAGTCCTGAGGCAGGAGCGAAGATCGAGGCAGACACAGAGGAGCTGACACAGCGATGGGACAGCTTGGTGCAGAAGTTAGAAGACTGCTCGTTTCAGGTGTGTGACTCTATCTCAGGTGGTAAAACATGATTCTCACATGGTTAATGCTTCAAATGTATGAGCATTTACTGTTTCACCATTTTTGCAAGGGAGTCATCATATATAATATGTGTTAATGTGCTAATGATGGACCTCTTGATTGAAGTAAAACTCATGCTTGTTGTCTGTGTAGGTTCTCAGTCATCAAGGTCATGGTCTCAAGTGCAGTTGCCTTCATTTGCGTTAGTTTGAAACTTTACAAACGAGGTTAAGCCACAACAGAGTCTAAGATTAGAAAACATGGTTAAAAATAAAAATGAAAGCAGTGTCTTTCAAAACTGTCCACACTGCCCAACTGCTCGGCATTGCAAGCATCTTTATTTAAAAAAAAAAATGCTTTGTATACACTACCAGTCAAAGGTTTGTTCCTATCTTCTCATTGAATGTTTTTTCTTTATTTTCTTGACTATTTACATTGTAGATTCTCACCGAAGGCATCAAAACTATGAATGAACACACATAGAATTATGTAGTAAACAAAAAAAGTGTGAAATAACTAAAAAAAAAACATGTTTTAGATTTTTCAAAACAGCCACCCTTTGCTTTGATTACAACTTCGCACACTCTTGGCATTTTCTCGATGAGCTTCACGAGGTCTTCATCTAAAATGGTTTTGCAACAGTCTTGAAGGAGTTCCCAGAGATGCTGAGCACTTGTTGGACCTTTTGCCTTTACTCTGTGCTCCATCTCATCCCAAACCATCTCGATTGGGTTTAAGTCAGGTGACTGTGGAGGCCATCTGGCGCAGCAATCCATCACTCTTCTTCTTGGTCAAATAGCCCTTACACAGGCTGGAGGTGTGTTTGGGGTTATTGTCCTGAAACCGGATGGGATGGCATATTGCTGCAGGATGCTCTGGTATCCATGCTGGTTCGTTTCGCTGCTTCAGTTTTGAATCAATCCCTGACAATGTTACCTGCAAAGCACTCCCCACCCCATCCTCCATGCATGTAGAGACCGTCTGTTTACCTTTTCTGTGTCACACAATGACACAGCGGGTGGAACTAAAGATCTCAAATTTGGACTCATCAGACCAATGTACTGATTTCCACTGGTCTAATGCCCATTCCTTGTGTTTTTTTGGAACAAATACATCTCTTCTGCTTGTTGCTATCCTTAGTACTGTCTTCTTAGCAGCTATTTGACCATAAAGGCCTGATTGGCACAGTCTCCTCTAAACAGTTGATGTAGAGATTTGTCTTCTACTTGGAACTGTGTGGCATTTATCTGGGCTCTAATCTGAGGTGCTGTTAACTTGCGATTTCTGAGGCTGGTGACTCGGATGAAGTTAGGCAATGAAAACCAAGTGAAGTAAAAACCATTTCAGGTGACTGCAACATGAAGCTGAGTGAGAGAAAGCCAAGGGTTTGCAGCGCTGTCAACAAAGCAAAGGGTGGCTGCTTTCAGGAATCTAAACTATAAGACATATTTAGTCTTTTTCATCTTTTTTTTTTCTTTGCTACATTATTCCTTATATTTTGCTTCATATATTTGACATCTTCATTATGTATCTACAATGTAGAAAGTAGTAAATATAAAGAAAAAACATAAATGAGAAGGTTTGTCCAAACTTTTGACTGGTAGTGTACTTTTATTTCTTTTTCTTAGCTTAGATTGATTTATCTTCCTTTCTTTTTCACTAATACTTTAACTCACTCCTCACAGCTAATGGAAGCTGTGACGGATGCTGGGATGACTCAGGTGGAAGAACAGGTCGTCGTGGATACAGTTGCCGTGGATTCGGTCACTTCAATTGACGATCAGGACCTGGCCCCACCTGCTCCCCCAAAGAAACGTCTGATGGAGACGGATGCAGAAGTCATAAGAATGTAAGAATGGGGCCATAAACAGACAGAATAAATCTCTCTACCCTACCATACTTAACTTAATAAGCTCTGCACACACACACACACACACACACACACACACACAAACACACACACACACACACACACACACACACACACACACACACACACACACACAGCAGTGTGTACATAGTGTGCATGTCTTTTGTGTTCTGCAGGTTTGAAAACAAAATTTCTGAGCTTTTGAGCTGGATAAAAACGTGGAAGATATCCACTCAGGCACTGGCCACCACACATCCTGAGACTGCACCTGATACTCCAGACCTTCAGGAGAATCTAAAGGTAGACCTGCAGACATTTAACATAATTTCAACTTCAATTTAACAAAATATATTTTGTAGGCATAAACTTTAATATGTGTTAAACAACCACTTTAGGATTTGGAAGCAGAACTTAAAGCAAAAGAAGCCACAGTGAGTCAGATGATCCAGGGGGGAAGAGCCCTGATGGACCAGCTAGAGAGAGGTATGAAACATAGAGTAAAGGTTCCTCTTTCTGTATAAACCACAAAATTATTAGAAACAAATCATCCAAGTTTTGTCACGTATGTTCTTCTAAAGTGTGTAAAGATCTTGACTTCTATTTATTGCCTTAAGGCAGCTCAAACAACAATCTTCCATCTCCTTGTTAAACTGTGTTTTCCTCATAAGATTTTACCACTTTTCTGCAGCTGTCTGGTGTTTTCTGGGTATTTACAAGCCTACGTATTTTTATTGTTATTTATTTTTAAATGCCAGAACTCTAAACATGTGTTTGTGTATTTGGAGTTTGAGTAATAAAACCCTGTCAGTCTGCAGGTTTGCTGATTTCATATAACCACTCAATGAAATGAAGAGGCACTCAGGGTTTTTACGTGTTTACGCTGCTCTGGAGGCAGTGGGAGGTGGTGGCGTGGCTAAGTTGGAGACTACTTTTTTTTTTTTTAAACGTCAAAATTTCCATTAAACAGTTTTATTCCATCAGTTGCTTTTTCATCTATTTTGCCTTATCTCCACTATTTTATCCTCTGGTGTTATTACAATTATTACTTGCTAGGAGCTCCCACATAAAATCTAGAACAAAAGCTGTGACACATTCAAACATTCAAAGGCTTAAAATCAGTTAGCTGTTAAGTGCATTTGATGGGAGCCGGTGTCTTTGTTTCTATCTATAGAGGCTGTGAGTGTGGATCTGGTGAGGGCAAACATAGAGCAGCTCCAGACTGAATGGGATGTCTGTGCGAGGGAGCTACAGGCAGCCCGTGAGCGGGTTCACACGCAGACGCGGCTGAGAGCGGTTTCTAATGAACTTGCAGGCTTGGACCGGGTCTTGCAGGAACAGGACCAGTGGCTGGACTCGACCGCGCCTGTAGAAAAGTGCAACAAGATGGAGCTCGGAAACCTGAAGGGGGAATGCCAGGTAAGATTTACCGTCTCACTCGCAGACACTTCAATGTCCTTTGTGTGACTTTAACCCCAAACGTCACTTGTTAAATTCCTCTCATTCAACTGCAGTTTCTTTACAAGTATTACAATTTTTACAGCAAAGATAAATCACCATTAAAATGACTGATCAGAAACCACGAGGCCACAGCAGGGAAGCAGTAAATCAAGTTGAGATGTATTCAAAAGCTTGTAGAGTAGAGTAAGACACATGAAACCTCCCTCCAGTGTGTCATAATTTGAGCTTAACTTACTTGCCTGTCACTGGAAACAATGACTCCATCTGGTAAATTCCAGACCAGTCAGCTAACTCACTGCAGCAGTGTGAGTAAGATGTTTTGTAATTATTTTAGATAAATGTATGTAATTGCAAAATAAAGAATCAAATGTAAATGTTTCTAATTCTTTTCAACAAACATGAGAAGTCTGAAAGCTAATTGAACGAAGTGTGGTCATGTGATCACTCCTCATTTCAAGCACTGAACACATTTGTTTTCTTTTGTGCTTGTCAGTCTCGAATCGCTCAGGTCACCGCCTTCAGTCCACGACTGGAGCAGCTGTCTGCAGAGGCAGGGTCAATGGGAGCCCTGCCTTCTCTAAAAGACAACATGGTGGTGGTTTCTGCACATCATGCCTCCACCCTGCAGAAGCTGCAGAGCAGAGAAAAGGAAGTCAATGAAGGTACTGCTTAAGTGCATTGAAATAATTTCGTAAATCAATACAGTAGAAATGAAGTCCGAAACTCTGAGCAGGTCCACCTGCTTTTCCAGTGACCTGAGAGCTTTCAGATATCCTCTTATTCCTGAGATCTGCAGGGCAGAGATTTAAACCGCCCTTAAAACAAATGCCTTTATCTCTCTCGTTGCTTGTGGTGCAAAGCTTTCAGGTTTATGGGAGACTGAATGAGTAATGGTTACGATCAGCAGAGTTCCACACGGGCTGTGTAAATTTGACATGAGCTTTTATACGAATCCTTGGCCAGCCACAAGTAATAGATGATGCCCTTATATGGCCTCCAAAAGCTCACGGAGATGCGAGTGTGTACGTGAGCGATCGTGCGTAAGATCGTACCTCTGTGCCAGCTCCGTCTCTACCTGAGGACCTGACTTGGACCTGGACGAGTTCTGAAAATAAGTCACCGTTTTACCTCTGGAATTTACGTGCGCTGATCCTGGCCAAAAAATATCCGTAAAGGGAGGCTTGAATGCTCTGCTGACTGCAGGGGGATGTGGGTGGGTGTGTGTTGTGTTTGCATGCCTGTTTTGCTGTACCTCTAGGGCTTTTATGACACTGAGGGTTTGGATGGGATCCAAGGAAAACCTTTTTGTTTCTGCCTGAGGGCGGTTTGATTCTTGCTGGGGCCCTCTCTATCACCACCCCCACCCCACACTTACACTCCAGGTTTGCTCCTTGTGTATATGAACATAGCCAGATTACGTAAGCATTAAATCACCTGGTAGTTAACAGAGAAGGGGACACAGGGGAAGGAAGACAGGAGTGGAAGTATAGAAAAATGTGCAGAGGAATAAGAGTAAAATGAAAGGTAATTGAACTAATTAAAATAAATTGGTCACTTGTGAACCTTTTGGAGGTTTGGATTTGCTATTTTGGAAATAGTGCAATGTTTGGGAACCTCTTAGTGTATGGAAAACACAAGCATGTCCAACTGTAAAGAGGGGGAATCCCAAACTTGCTCACTACCCCCTTGTGGCAGAAGCTTGATGCTTGCTAAAGTTATATTTCACAGTTTTTCCTGTCTTTTCTTCTCTGTTATTTTCTAAAACAGCTTCTCTTCCTTGCCTTATTTCAGCCCTGGCTAATCTGGAAGCCACGCAGCTGGTACAGTCTGTGGTGGAGGGTCTAGAAGCCAGACTGGCCACCCTGAGGAACGGGATGGTTGACATGCCTACAACACAAGAGGCAGTGGAGCGGGCACAGGTGAGTTTAAATACAGATATTCTGCTAACTGACAAGCAGACAGCTAGGACAAAAATGTGAATTCGACTGAGGAGGATATAGCTGCATTAATTAGTTGGATAGTTAGTATTTTTGATGATCTGAGGTACTCGTTAGCACTTTAGGTTTGCTTTTTGTGCAACACGGTGTTGCAGCGGTTAGCACAGTCTCTTCTCAGCAAGAAAGATCCTGGTTCGATCATGTGCTTAAGTGGGTTTCCTCTGGGTTCTCCAGTTTCCTCCCACAGCGAGTCAGATAAAGTGCTTAAATTGTATAGAATAAAGGGGTTTATTAATGTGTGGTTAAACGTGGCTTGTATTCTAAAGCACAATAAAACTATATAAATATATAAATGTTAAATGTTATTTTGAGCCTGCTGAAAAGTTTAGCTGCTGTCATATGTGCCCTTTGACCCAAGTAATTTATTCTCATCATTCACTTTGGTTGTTTCTGTGTCCTTGTACGTACATTATCTCAGTTTTTGCTGTCGTCTTTTCCTCTGAAAGAATAACAGATCCTTGTATCAGCCAGTCACTTCCCTCTGCACTGTATTAAACCTTTGTGTAAGAGGGGTGTGTAGGGTGTGTAGATTTGTTATCTGTGCATTGTTGTGCTTTGTGTGTTGCTGTGTGTGCTGGTCTCCTCCTCCATCCTTCAGTGGAATGTGGCTCCGTCTGCGCTCTTGTTATCATGGCAGATAGGGCACGGTGCCGGGGAGGGGGGCGGGGACTACGCGCATTCTGGGCAGCATGCCCGTGCATGCAGCGCGGAGCTCCTAACAGCTCAGTGTGGAGCCGCTGAACCTGTCAGTCAGTTTGACCGCAACATGCAATACCATAGCAGCATGTGCGAGTTCAGGTTCCCTTTAGTCAAATGAGGCAAGCTGATAATCACCATATTGGCTCTGGTTTCTCTCTGTGTTAATGCATGACAGCACACAGTTTTTTGTAATATAGAAATTTTATGTTGATGACATAAAATTAACAGCAGCACTTTTCAGTGTTTAAGCTTTGGATCCACAGTTAAACCTCACTAGTTTACTGCTGGTTTTAACCTGTTTTCCTCCTATCAAACCCCAGCTGATGGCTGCCACTCCCTGAACCTGGCTCTACAGGATGTTTCTTTCTGTTAAAAGGCAGTTTTTCCTTCCCATGGTCGCTAAGCGCTAGCTGATAAGGGGTCATTTGATTGATGGTTGTTTTTTTTTCAGTGTTATTATATGGTCTTTAACTTGCAGCACCTTGAGGCTTAAAATTGAATTGAATTGCTAGGAGTGTTTTTGAATAATGAGTAATTAAATTAATTTACACACTATTTAACTAAAGAGTTGAACATTTAATGAGGAACAAACCACATGCTTGTTAGGCCTTCAGTACACATGCAGATTACAATCATACCTATATTTGTTTTCAAGAAGCTACATTTTGCAGGGTGTATAACATATGATCAATATCTAATGACTTACCGCAATATGATGTATGGTATAGACAATGTCGATGTTAGTTATCTGCAGACATACAGCATTATAAGAGCCAGGTAATTTAAATTAAAGAAAAGACACCAGAAACACGCTTCAACCATCTTATGAGAATTGATGCTGCCACTTCCCTGTTGGCAATATGCGTTTGGAGCCTCAAACACAACAACCAGATGATCCCTGCAGAGTCGGGCAGAGTGTAAACAAGTAATCCATGACCTAATAAAACAAGGTTACTTTTAAACTGCATTGTTATGCCTGCAATTGTATCTGAGTAAAGATACAGATAATATTTTTTTTAGGGAAATTTTTCCGTTGTGTGACCCTGAAAGAAGAACAAATGTTTGCTGATCTACTGGATTTTTAAATCGCCAAATATCATATTGGTCTTTAAATTCCTGTCAGACTCAACTTTTTGTTTTTGTTAAACTCTGGAATAATCTCAAGTTGTTGTTGTTGTTGTTGTGTTTTTTGTTTTTTTTTGTTTTTGTTTTTTAAATATTTCTTTTACAAATGCAAAAATGTTTAAGAGATGTTTTCCACTCCAGGCGGTCAAATTTGTTTTCCAAGAATTCCAAGATTGATTGATTGTTTCTCAGAAATGTCATTTCAATTCTGTACTTGTGTTCACGTCAGGTCCTGTGTCTGGATATTGAGCAAACACAGCAAGCCTCTGACCCTGCAGAACTACAAAAATGGAGTCAGCTGTCCTCCCGGGCCCGTGAGGAGCTTGGCACTTTGCAGTGCATTCTGGGTAGCATGAAGGACAATCAGGTAGAGCAGCTGTCAGGGAGAATAAAGAGTCTGTTTCTGCTTAAATTATGGCTTTAGTTTACACTGTGGTTTTGCTCTTGTGCTGCATTCAGGTTTGTTTGGAGCAAGTGGAACGTTGGCTAGATGCAGTTCAGGAGCTGTTGTCTCGGGATGCCACAGGGATGGGTGACACAGAGAGTCTAAGGGAAGAACTGAATCAGTGCAAGGTGAGAGAAAAATGCAACAAAAAACAAACACTGGTGGTAATGACGCACAAACTGCTCAGAAATCAACTTGAACAATATGCTGAAGTAGGGTTTTTTGTGGGGGGCTTGGCTTGAATGAACTTTTTTTTTCAAAAAGATTTCCTTTCATGTTCCTATAAACAGGAGCATGTGAATGAGATGGAGCAGGTGGAAGGTTCACTGAAGCAGATGGGAGAGAATGTGAATTCGGTACAGGCAGCTGCAGTACCAGGACTGGCCAGGTGGGGGCAGGACAAATTGGATGAGTGCCAGGCTCGGTGGACTTCTCTCAGCAAACAGGTGAGTTTGTTTTATTGCTTATAATTTATTTAGTGGCTGATTTATGTCATGGAAAAATAAACAGAACGCTGAAAGATGAAGAGATGAAGAATAACAGCTCCTTTATGCTCTTTGTGTGGATACAAACTCTGCTCAGCTGTAAGGAGCTCGTTTCTCACAGTCATGTAGGCACCTGTCTGATAACAGAGACATGGAAAGTGCATCATTACCTTGAACACAGCTAACTGTTAGTTTTGGGCCTTTTGTTTGCAGTCTTCACACAAACTATTCGTATAATAAAGTTACAATCACATATCAGTAGTACACAGAGGCTAAATAAGTTAAAACACTAATTTTACATTATAAATTACAATAACAAATTATGCATCCACAACTAACCTTAATGTTTTAATGTTAAGGTTTCATAACATGTGGTCTCACCTGTGTCCTGTACCTTTTGTTTTGTACATCATAAGTAACAGGAAGATGAAGTCCACTTCATTTCACTAATATGCTGTACTGTATATATCATTGCATAATTGCTTAATCATGAATGTAAACCATTAAAAGTTCAATTAAAATGCGATTTTTCTAAGCAATATTAGAATTTCTAAAATTCTAAAAATGTGATGCCAGCTCGTTACAAACCTGATGAAATGCATTTTCCTTCCAGTTGCTGAGCCATCAGGAGCGCGTGGCAGAGAGTCAGGAGAAGCATGTGAATTTGAGGAAAGACCTGGCAGAGATGCAGGAGTGGATGGCCCAAGTTGACGAGGAGTTTCTCATGAGGGATTTTGAATACAAAAGTCCAGAGGAGCTGGAGGCATCGCTGGAAGAGATGAAGGTTGGACTGGAAGGGCGGTCAAAGAAAGCGGTGTCGAGTAATTCTTTGTGTTTGAGTCTAACTCTTGCTCTCTCTCATCTTGGGTGGCCTCGGCTCTCGCAGCGGGCTAAAGAGGATGTGGTACAGAAAGAGGTGAAAGTGAAGATCCTGAAAGACAGCATCAACTTGCTGGTGTCCCGAACATCACCCACAGGTGGAGGCAGCAGGCAAGAACTGACCTCAGAGCTAGAGGGGGTACTAGCCAACTACCACAAGCTCTGTGACCGCCTCAAGAGCAAGTGTCACACCCTGGAGGTAATGTAATCAATTTATTAATGTAATATATGTGGGTGGTGATTAAAAATGTAATAAATGAGCTCTACTCACATAATATATTGATTAATCTCATTATTATGAGCTTTTATTGCTTGAAACCTGCACTTAACTAAGTGAATTATAAAAAGTGGCATTTCCCCCTATTGTGTTGCATTTAAATTACCTTGAAGCTTAAGTAAAAGCTGCTATGACACATTAACATGAAGTTAATTCATGGTTTTCTGCTTGAGTGGCACGATTTTGTCGATCAGCTCAGAAGTCCCGTAGTTCAGTAGAGGAATGACATGTCGGGTTATGCAATGTGTCATTTCTTGGGCCCTCGTTTGTTAATTTTCATGCAAAGACCAAAAGAAGCTTGAAGGGAAAATGGTGATTCTTGTTTTCAGAGCTAATCTGTAAGTGTAAAGTCCTACTTAGGGGCTCCTTTTTTGATTAAACACTGCAGAGTAAAGGTCAGGCACGTCAGAAAGCTGTGTTTATGCTTGTGTCTGCTTTTTTGCCTGCAGCCTGTTTGTCACAACCTCCTCTTTGTCCGTAGAATTTGGCTGTTTAGTCTTGCTATAAAGAAGAAAATAAGCATTAAAATGTTTTATATTGTTCTTTAAGCGCCTGAACAGGGGCATGCTCATGAGTGTGGTCACCTCATAGTAACATAAAGAATTTCCCTTATAATAGTTTTTGTGTTGCTCTGTGCTCTGTAGGAGGTTTGGTCTTGTTGGATGGAGCTGCTTCAATACCTGGACATGGAGCAGAGCTGGCTCAACACTCTGGAGGAGAAGCTCCAAGCTACTGAAAACCTGCCAGAGCGCACCGAGGCCGTTAATGAAGCCTTGGAGGTAAAAACGCACACCTGTAATCAAATTCAATGTAATTCAGTGCCACATTCCAATTTCTGTCTCATTTTTCTTTTAAACCATCTTTTAAACCGGCAAGCCTGTCCTAATATCCTCATCATCTAAGGGGCGGTTGACATAAAATGAAAACAATGCACCATTCTTCGTCTCAAAGTGGGAAATCTTAATATTATACATCCAACTACATAATTTTAGGAAACATGTTGATGTCAAAAGCAAATGTGGAAAAGGTTTTAAAGTACACACAAGCATTTTCGACAGCTGAAGGCATGTGTCAGGAGCAAGTGTGTAAGAAATCTGATATAATTAGTTACATCTTTAATATATAAACAGAGAAGACATGAATCTTTGAATGGATTTTATCTTTTCTCTTTTTATCTGCGATACAACACCATAACCTCACAAATAAACAGAGTTGTGGTCAGAAGTTACTCTTTACTCTTCCAAATGTGCCAAATCTTGTCATTGTGGTCAATGACTGTATGCATATATTTGAGGCTGTGTAGAAAATCCAAACTATATTCAAACTTGTGCTTTGGATACTTGTTTTTAACATCATTAAAGATGTAAGCTGTACAATCATTCCACCCCGGAAAAAGAACAGTTCAAATAAATCATTTAAAAGCCTCAAATTACCATGACATTCATGCCTGTGATGACTGTATGTAAAGTTCTGATCACTTCTGGTTCTGTATGCATGAAGTGGCAACATTTAACAAACTAATTCTTCCATTACACGTTGAACTGGATGTTAATAACCTCATTTGTCTTTGATTTGTCTTCCAAATTTCTTCTGCTTTGCCTTGATCTGCTGCTATATCTGTAGACCGCCTGCGGCACGACTGTCAGAGTCACTTTAATCACAGTGCTGCTTCTGTAACATTGCATAGTGATGAAGGAAGCTGAAGACCCTTGAAGACAATGTTTCCCCGCTCTAGTCTGTGTCCTTATAATATATTTTTTTGACTTTTCTTTTCTCCTCCAACAAGTCCTTCTCTTTCTCTCTTCCTCTTCACTCTTTTAAATCCTGTTTCATCACCCGGCACTCGTTCCCGGCCTCTCGGTTTCCTAATCAGACCCACCCCTCTGGTGGGGGGCTGTCTTTCTCTGTGTCTGTTACCTCCGGGGAAGGAAAAGCAAATTTAATGACCCCACATAAACAGTGACTGTTGGGTCCAAACCGGTGCCGTCACTATTCAAGCTCGCTCTCTCACTCGTCTCTCATTTCTCATTCAGTTATCATCTTTGTTTTGGTTTGCCGCTGTCTGACACACCCAGCCCAGCGAAATTCTGCATCTGGACTGCATCTGTTTGCTCAGCTTTTTTTGTTTTTTTGTTGTTGTTTTTTTTTTTTTTGTTTCTCTCTCTTTCATCCACACATACGCTTATGTACCGGAATTCATTTTTCACCCTGATGTTTTGCGCTTTTTGATCGTTTGGTTACAAGGTTAGCTCTGCTCTTCTTTTTCTTTTTAATTCATTCATGCTTTGCAAGTTTCTTTTTAAAATTTTTGGAACTGTAAAGCTTCATCATTGTTTCAGCATCCTCAAAGGATTTGCTTTCCTCCCCTTTTTGCTTGATTCTTATTTATTCATTTTTTTCCTGATTCTTTGCGGATGTATTTATGCTTCTCTCCATCTCTTTTGTCACCACCAGTCTTTGGAGGGTGTGCTCCGCCACCCTGGGGACAACCGGACACAAATCAGAGAGCTGGGTCAGACGCTGATAGACGGGGGCATACTTGATGAGCTCATTAGTGAAAAACTAGAGGCCTTTAATTCCCGCTATGAGCAACTGAACCACCAGGTCAGGACCTTGTCTCTGTCTGTGTGTGTGTGTGTGTGTGTGTGTGTGCATGTTCTACATTTGTTCCTGCATAAACAGGAATGTTGCAAATTACATTTTAGTTCCTTTTTCAATGGAGAATCTGTGTTTATTCTTTTTGGGGAATTTATATCTGATTCTGTCTATTGCAAACTAGAACATGTCCATATCTGTACAGAGTTCATGCATTGACATTTCATACAGTATTTATGGAGTGCTCCTTTACTGTATCAGCTATGCTACATGGAGAAATATGCCTCAATGTATTGTCAAATGTAAATGAGTGCAGCTAAAAGTAGAAATAATTAAGAGGCTTACAGCGAGTGTAACACTGTGTATATTAGCTATTATTTTCAGTCTTTTTCTTAGCCAATTGCACATGCATGATAAGAATAAATATAATATCTGTCTACACTAAAATCTGTGATTATAACAGATTCAAATGTGTGTCTCGGTGTCTGTGTCCTCGTCCAGGCAGTGAACCGGCAGATCAGCCTCGAGCAGCAGCTGCAGACACTGAGAGAAAACGAACAGGTGCTCCAAGCGCTGCAGGAGTCTCTGAGCCAGCTGGACCACACGCTCACCTCCTACCTCACTGATCGCATAGACGCCTTCCAGCTTCCACAGGAAGCACAGGTACAACGCACGTGAACATAAAACACTTCTGTGTTGGTAAGACTCACCTAATGAGATCTGACACTCAGAGAAGCCTCGGAGCGTAAAGGCCCTTCATCTAACACTAATAAACTGCATATGCAATGAAATATGCTTGAACTTCAAATTGTCGTCTTAAACATAAGACCACCATAATAATGCATACTTGACTGTTCCATGTGCATTAAAAAAAAAAAAAACTTCTCAGTGTATAAGGGTTGTTTTGAATTTTTCGTTAGACTATTGGAGCAGAGATCGCAGCTCACGAGGTGACAGTGGAAGAGATGAGGAGAAGAAATGTGGCCAACTTGCCTCCTAACACCGCTGATGGCAAAGCTGGCCGTAGTGGGACAATGCTGGATCACCTACAGGTAACACTGACCCCTGCTGGACAATGTTAGGAGTTGTCATGCCACCACCACTTATCATATAGCTTTAATACCTTTAACATACATTTTCTTTACTATGTGTTGGGCTAATATTACCAATAAGACATAGTAGATTTCTTCTCTTCCATTTTTACTTGTATAAAGGTTTCTGTAATCCTGAAGATGCATTTAAATTTCATTCAAAATTTCATACTTTCTTTAACATTTTGCTGGGTAAACATTGGCTATTTTTTCGGCGATCTTTGACTTTGTTTGCCTTCTGAATTGCTCTCTGCAGAGGAAACTGAGGGAGATCTCCACAAAATATCAGCTTTTCCAGAAGCCTGCTAACTTTGAGCAGCGCATGCTGGACTGTAAGAGGGTCCTGGATGGTGCTAAAGCTGAGCTTCACATCCTGGATGTTAAAGATGTGGAACCGGAAAAAATTCAGTCTCATCTTGCTGGTTGTTTGGTAAGAAACCGACCTTTTCTTCTCTTTTCTTTTTCTCTCTCCGGTCAATCCACACAGCTACTTATTTCATGTCTTTTTCTTGGATAGAAATTGTACAAGTTGCTGAGTGAGGTGAAGCTGGAGGTGGAGACGGTGATAAAAACAGGCCGCCAGATTGTGCAGAAACAGCAGACAGAGAACCCCAAGGCCATGGACGAGCAGCTTACTGCTCTTAAATTGCTCTACAATGAACTCGGGGCGCAGGTACCTCATTCTGGGCAAATTAACACTTCCACAAAATCTAGCTTTTAACATTGAGTACTTCTGTCATAGTTCTGAGCCCTTTTTAAAGATGCCATTGTATTAATTGTCCTTACAGGTAACAGAGGGCAAACAGGACCTGGAAAAAGCTTTGTCTCTATCCCAAAAGTTCCAGAAGGAAAGTGCTGTCCTGCAGGACTGGCTGAACACAAACGAGGCCGAGCTCCAGCAGAAAAATGGCTGCGGAGACATGCCAGCTGACATTGACGCTGAGATTGCATGGGCTAATGTGAGTAGCTGTATCAGTATGTGGAAAGCTTTTTTGTTTTTTAAACAGACATTTATTAAGAAAAAAGTGTGCTGTGCAAGTTTTAGTGAAAACAAAACCTTTCAAAACAATAGCGGTGAGTCTGTTTCTTGCCAGTAGATGGCACAGAGGGACAGTTTGTTGCCCCTAAACACATGAATCTGATTCTCTTTCTCATATGGTAATCAACATTATGAGCGGTGTGAATTATGTGTGGCTTCGTATATAATTGATGAGCTCTTCTCCTCTTCTCTGATCCCACTTTGGTAAAAAGGACTGAAAGATTTATGATTACATACACAGAACCAGGAAAAAAAAATGACCCTGTTTATCCAAAAATACCCAGAAACGACATTAAAACTGAAATGCTATGAATTAATAATAGTTCACTAGTTTACATAAAGTCATTAAAAGTGCTTTAGTCCAGTAGGGTGTAGAAAGTGTTTTTGTTGTTTTCCAGCTGTGCTTGTTTTGAAATATTTATGCAGTGAAATATCTGAAAATGTTCTTCATATCTTGGTGAAGGCAGGCTGTTGTTTTAGTAACATCGGCGTTATTTTTTTCTTTTATATAGCAGTGTGTCAGTGTTTACATGTGCCTGTGTGATAATATTAAGACAGGTAGCTGAGGTGGCGCTGAATTATTGAAACATGGTGGTCATAACATGATCTTGTTGAATATTTTGAACTGGATGTGCTTAACCAGGGTCTGCTGAAGGAGTCGGAGCGTCGGAAGGCGGAGCTATCTGGCCTGACGGAGATCAGCGCTGGTTTGCAGACTCTGGTGGAGGGAAGTGACGCTCAGCTGGAGGACAAACTCTGTGGTCTTAATGAAGCCTGGGAACGTGTTCACACTTTGACTGAGGACTGGCTTAGCACTGTTCTTGTGAGTGCAAATACTGCATACAGAAAGACTAATAAAAGGCCGTATTGGTCACAAGATGTCATATTTTGATTTCTTAATGAAGTCGAGCCTTCCAGCTTCTTAAATTTCATTTCATTTCTTTGCATAATTTGCAAATGCATAAAGGCTACTCTTGAGTAGATATATTTAAGGTAAAGGCAATTACCCATGTCAGCTATTACTGCATATGCATACTTTATAATCCATATCAGTAGTACAGGATTATTTAGTTAGACATGGTGAGTTTAGAAATTCTAAGAAATGTATTTAAAAGTTGCATATTCTGTTCAGTGCAAAGTGCATTACAGGATTAGATTTATTAAGGATTCACAACTCAAATGAAACATGCTCTTTTTGTGCTCTTTTACTCTACTGATTGCAGGAAATGCATAAATGTCAAAACCAAAAAAAAGACTTCAAATCACCTCTTTGGTGCACTGCAGCAAGTCTATGATAAAGTACAAAATGGTGAATACGTAGAACTTTTAATTGCCTAAATATCCATTTTTGGGTTGTGTAGAGTCACCAGAATGAGGTGGAAATTTTGGATGAAAACTTGGCTCACATCAGCACCTGGCTCTACCAGACCCAGATCCACCTGGATGAGGCTGAACGGCTGGCTCCAGCAGAAAGAGAAAAAGTAATAAAGGTAAGGCAGCGCAGGTTATTAGTGTGACAGGTAAAGCAACAGTATAATGTAGGAGAGCGTGAAGCTAATGTGTAGATTGTGTGAAACCAGCACGGGCCTGAGTGATTCTAAAACCTGAGTTTTTTAGAAAGCTCCCAGTGAATAAGATTCTGAGAAGGTGCATTAAAAATAAATGGCTGGGCCACTGATGCACATTGCAAATTAGCTCACATAGACACATTAGTTGTGCTGCTTCTTAATGATGGTATCTTAGCTAACAACCCCAATTACCAGATTCAACTTGTAATTGACTAAAAATCAATTGGCCTACCGGTGAGAGGGACATTGCTTGCTGGCAGTTTTTTCAAGCGATGTTGAAATTTCCGCATTCCAACACTTCAAATGCTTCAGGAGCCGTCCGCTTAGCGCAGCATCAGCACCATGGAAATACACACAAATACAATACTGTACTATGCCAACATGTGCGAACAAATATAGTTCTATAAAGTTGTTCTATATACAGTGGGGCAAAAAAGTATTTAGTCAGCCACCGATTGTGCAAGTTCCCCCACTTAAAATGATGACAGAGGTCAGTAATTTGCACCAGAGGTACACTTCAACTGTGAGAGACAGAATGTGAAAAAAAATCCATGAATTCACATGGTAGGATTTGTAAAGAATTTATTCGTAAATTAGGGTGGAAAATAAGTATTTGGTCACCTCAAACAAGGAAAATCTCTGGCTCTCACAGACCTGTAACGTCTTCTGTAAGAAGCTTTTCTGTCCCCCACTCGTTACCTGTATGAATGGCACCTGTTTGAACTCATCATCTGTATAAAAGACACCTGTCCACAGCCTCAAACAGTCAGACTCCAAACTCCGCCATGGCCAAGACCAAAGAGCTTTCGAAGGACACCAGGAAAAGTATTGTAGACCTGCACCAGACTGGGAAGAGTGAATCTACAATAGGCAAGCAGCTTGGTGTGAAAAAATCAACTGTGGGAGCAATCATCAGAAATGGAAGACATACAAGACCACTGATAATCTCCCTCGATCTGGGGCTCCACGCAAGATCTCATCCCGTGGGGTCAAAATGATCATGAGAACGGTGAGCAAAGATCCCAGAACCACACGGGGGGACCTGGTGAATGACCTGCAGAGAGCTGGGACCAAAGTAACAAAGGTCACCATCAGTAACACACTACAACGGCAGGGAATCAAATCCCGCAGTGCCAGACGTGTTCCGCTGCTGAAGCCAGTGCATGTCCAGGCCTGTCTGAAGTTTGCCAGAGAGCACATGGATGATACAGCAGAGGATTGGGAGAATGTCATGTGGTCAGATGAAACCAAAGTAGAACTTTTTGGTATAAACTCAACTCGTCGTGTTTGGAGGAAGAAGAATACTGAGTTGCATCCCAAGAACACCATACCTACTGTGAAGCATGGGGGTGGAAACATCATGCTATGGGGCTGTTTTTCTGCCAAGGGGACAGGACGACTGATCCGTGTTAAGGACAGAATGAATGGGGCCATGTATCGTGAGATTTTGAGCCAAAACCTCCTTCCATCAGTGAGAACTTTGAAGATGAAACGAGGCTGGGTCTTCCAACATGACAATGATCCAAAACACACCGCCCGGGCAACAAAGGAGTGGCTCCGTAAGAAGCATTTGAAAGTCCTGGAGTGGCCTAGCCAGTCTCCAGACCTCAACCCCATAGAAAATCTGTGGCGGGAGTTGAAAGTCCGTGTTGCTCGGCGACAGCCCCAAAACATCACTGCTCTCGAGAAGATCTGCATGGAGGAATGGGCCAAAATACCAGCTACTGTGTGTGCAAACCTGGTAAAGACCTATAGTAAACGTTTGACCTCTGTTATTGCCAACAAAGGTTATGTTACAAAGTATTGAGTTGTATTTTTGTTATTGACCAAATACTTATTTTCCACCCTGATTTACGAATAAATTCTTTACAAATCCTACCATGTGGATTCATGGATTTTTTTTTTTCACATTCTGTCTCTCACAGTTGAAGTGTACCTCTGGTGCAAATTACTGACCTCTGTCATCATTTTAAGTGGGGGAACTTGCACAATCGGTGGCTGACTAAATACTTTTTTGCCCCACTGTAGTGTGTAACTGTTGATATAGAGCGTTATTACATTTATTGCTATTGCAATGGTTGGTATGGCACATTGACTTCTGAGGAAATTTTCGATGGCACTCATCATCGGAAAGGTTGCCGACTCCTGGGCTACACCATTCAAAATAAAAAGGTTCATGTCGGGGTCCCCAAGGCCAAAATATCGGCAGAGGACCCCTACAAAGGTTCCATTAACAAATACAACACTTCATCAAAATAGCAGATCAATTGGATCCCTCAAGATTGCCACTTTTTCTTCCAATATCACTAAACAAACCGGTGGCCACACACTTCTGAGACGAGTGGCCAAAATTGGAGCTGCAGGAGCTGCAAATGAAGTTCCACACAAAACTTGAATGATGTTCAGCTTTTGCAGTCAGGTGTGGGAGAGCTGGAACTGAAAGGGAGCGACAGAGCATCTTTCTTTCAGAAAAAGGCCAAAAGCTCAGTGAACGTAACAGGATGCCTCTCATCACTTGCAATAGCATTTGCCTCGCTCCTAATTCGCTTCTGTACTCGCCAGCAGTTTGCTGTCTGGTGTTGCTATCTTTCTAACACTTTCCCTGGGTCTCAGAAGTGTTTCCAAACCAACAAATGATCCAAAAACTCAGAACAATTTCAATAAGAGCACAGGAACATTTTGTCTGCAGTCAAGGATAAAAGTATTTTCTTTGTTGTGCCTCTGTGCTCAGACACTCAGTCCAGGACTCTCATTTCAGTCTGTAGTGAGCTACAACCCCAAGGTACATATATAAGGTTGCACACTGCAGTTCTCAATTAATGAAAGTGGGTGGATTGTTGCCTCCTAAAATCAGCAATTTCTTTAGTATTTGCAGTGTCTATTCATCTGTAGGTAGCGTTGTAAAATACTTTTAAGGCTTTAGAAAATGATTATCATCTCTCATCTGTCCGTTTCCATTTTACGAGTGCCTGTTGCACAAAGAGATATGCACAGTGAAATAAGAGCAGCAAAACAGCAGCAGAGACCTCGAAACGCGTTTATCTAAAGCAGATAAAGTGAATGAAAGCACCATCTTTAATCTTTGTTTGTTTAGAGGCCAACTGAAGAATCCTTTATTGTGTCTGTTGTGTCTATAAATGCTAGGATGGCGTCATACAGCTGCATTAATTTCTTAACTCTCCTTTTGTCAAGAAGAGTGAAGGTCCCCACTACATATCAGCTGAGCTTAAGGCCTCCTAACCTTGATCAGTACATGATGTCCCGAGCTCTTTAATCTGACCCAAGGCTACACTGCCAGCCGGTCTGAGGGAGGATGACTGATGGCATCAACTGATAATTCAATGACCAGCTACTCTGCGGTCTGTCCTTAGAGCATGCTGGAGGAGCTGGAGGATATCGGTCTGCGCGTGGACAACGTCAGGGATCAAGCTGTCATCCTGATGACCAGCAGGGGGCCCGCATGTCGAGATGTGGTGGAGCCCAAACTGGCTGAGCTTAACTGCAACTTTGACAAAGTCTCCCAGCACATAAAAACAGCCAAGGTATTAAAAACAGAACAAAAGAGAGATTAATTACTGCCTTGATGCAGTGTGGAATTAAATCTCACTATATCCACAGAAGGTTACACTGTCAAATAGATGCAGTCTGTTCAGCCAGTCTGTTTCTTTTCTTTTTGGCAACACAGATGCTGACGAGTCTGGAGTCAGGCACTGCTGAGGTGAACCAGCAGGTAAAGAATCTATCCTTGGTATTAAATGCAAGGGTGAAACACACCATATCTTACCAGGAGATATAATATCACAGGCAATAGGCTTATAATTAATTTTATGTAAGTTACAAATGCTGCTGCCAAGTGTTTTAAGACAAAGACACGGCCCTATTCCGTGTGTCTCTATGAATTGCAGCACAGCTGAACTCTCTTTAAGAAAGTGGTCAGATAATTAGATTGACGTAAGCAGCTCTGACTGTGTTGCCTGAGGTTTGTTGTTTGTTTTTTTTCCCC